GAGACAAAGGAGAGCAGCCACCTGGTGAACCAATCGAAGAGCAATAGTTGATTAATAAAAATATTTTTATCTACCCACGCAATTTGAAAGAGTGGAAGTTCGCACTCTTTTGCTAAAAATTTGTTGTAGTAAACCGTGTCTTTGCGTGACGTGGAGCGATGATAAAGGATATTGTGTTTACGCTTTGAGTGAGATGTTGTGAAGTGAAGCGCATAGAGAAAAACGTTTGGGCATAGACATTTGACAGACGTATGTTCGATCGATAAACCGGTATCGTTAGGCTTGTTCGTGAATTATAGCGAATTGTCGTATGTACGTATTACGGAACGGCGGCAAATAATTGTTTGTTAGTATACGCTTTGGGTTAGATTTTGTGAAGCTCGGCACAATAGCGAGACGTGTCTGGGGGCGTATACGTGTGTCTGAACTCTTTCGTCAATTAGCTAGAAAACTTGGTTGTGAGTTGTAGCGAACGGTCGTATGGTGCCGTAAAAAATTGTTTGTCGTATTTACGTTGAGATGTTGTTAAGCGATACACGTAGTAAAGACTTGTTCATATGGAGCAGCGGCAAAAAGTCGTTTTTGTGTTTGCGCTTTGGAGTAGATGTTGTCGTTAAGCAATAGAGAGAAGCATAACGGGTGTATATGTCTGACAGACGTGTGTTCGACTCTTCCATCAGTAAACCGTACCGTCAGAGGACTTTTTCGTGGGTTGTTGCAAACAGTCGTATGCGTGTAATATATAGGGATAGCAAGGGTTGTATGTATACATTTAACAACGTCGTGGTTTTGCTTTGGAGGAGAGGTTTGTTGTAAAGCAATAATGTAAAATGGTATATGATTGATAAACCACGTTGACGTTGTTGAGTGTTAAGAGTTGAGTTCGTTGTTTGCTGACGGCTTGTTTTGCGTCGTATGTACGTAATATGAAGTCTGAATATTGTCTGCTGTCATGTATTATTAAACTTTTGGAAGAGATGAATGATATATATACATATGTGAGTAGACGCGTATTCGCGTGCTTGCGTGTTTATATGATGAAAGATGACCGTGCCAAAATAAAATTATGAAATAAATATTAAAAATTGCATGTTAGCTGTTATCTACGCAGCAAGGGTTATGAGAATATGACGTCGCGACTGTCATAATTGTTTCCGGAAACAAGAACAATAGTATCAGTGTAACACGTGCTGCAGAATTTTTTCACTGGTTTACAAGTCATAAAATTTGTAATTGTCACGGGCGAGCGACCAGTGAGATAATTTATTACCGATAAGCTACGTGTAATAATTGATAACAACAATGTAATTTACGGCTATGTAGTGCAGTGCGTGTTATATCGCACCAGTCTAGTTTACGCCTTTAGCTATTGCCATAGGAGTCGACTTCGATACAAAAATAAACTACCACAAAATCACTCATCAAGAATTTTACGGACAGTTGACCGCAGTGGGTAAAAATTATAACGCAATATTTAATTTATGCCCAAATCTAAATCTTACACATAGACAATAATTATGAGCCAGTAATTTTTGATGTCGGATATGGTGTAAATAGAAACAGACAAGGATTGAATACGGACATACAACAGTTTGTTCCCTTAATAATTAAGGTAACGCGAATCAAAGTTCTCGTCTGAAAGCGATGAGGATGGATCGTTAGATGTTAGTGTCAATGGAGTTACGACATTTATTAAGCTGATGATTCCGCATTTTGCTAGACATTAAAGTTGCAAACCCGTCCTCAGGCGGGAGGCTCAAGAAGCGGCAAAGGCGAGGAATGAGATATTTTGTTGGAGTTGCTCCAGGCATAAAGGATCGAGTCAAGTACACGGAATTTATTGTTGCTCAATTAAGGTAATTATGATTCGATTAAATATGACGACTTTGCTTTCGAAATATGCGGTTACGTGAACTGACAGTTCCCAAACAAATTCAGACGCTGTCTTTTCTGGCATACATTTTGCGTGGATGCGAGTGTGAATTGGAGCAATATAGCGAAGACATTCCCAAATTTGTAATACGACTGTTACAAAATTGTCCGCCAGAGGCGTCAGGAACGAGAAAGGTATTTATAAATTGGCTTTTCCAGATCACAAAGTGTGAATTAACTCAGCGTTTGTGCATAGGAGTTGCTTTAGAAAAATTGTGAGAAATTATTTTTCAGGAGTGTATGCGTGGCTTATCATTATCGGTAATAATTTAATTATGATAATTATAATCACAGTATTAATATTATAAATATAAATCTTAATTAATAATAATGAAAAAGAAATGGCAAGTACCACTGCCAAAGGTGATAAAAAATAATATATTAAAGAATAACTGCTGTCAAGTTTATAGTTTTGTTTGGAAGATATTCTCTAAATGGGCCTTGATGACATGCTCACTTTAATTAAGGCGTTGATTAGTGCTTAATCGTTGGAATATACAATCGATGCTTTAGGTTGCTAACATACGATCAAAACCATATTACCATAATTGTGGTATTCTATTTATACGAGAGTGAACAGGTGGGGCCTTTATTATCGAAAAGCTGGAGAGTTATAACTGAATTTCCCATTTTATTATTAGACAATTTTTTCTTGTTCACAAAATTGACACCATACAGCCACAGCGCCACGGAAACCTTGTGAACCGGTTGCTTTTATATATTCGCTGTATTACTATGCGCCGTGATAATTTATTCCTCAACGGTTTAAATATAAATTTGACGAACCCAATTGCTCGTAGAATACTGATTTTTGATTGGCTAATACAATTTTGCCGTCGATCGGAACAGAACGGAACGGAACAGAATTGAACAGGCCTAATAATATGACTATTAACTTAAAACAGTTGGTTTTGATACACAAATCAGAAAGCCACGTTTCGTATCAATTCAATATGGACAATCAGAATTATTCTATTCAGCATACAACATAAATGCTCGTGACAGAAATTAAACCGTTTTATTCTCTAAAAGAGGCCCTGCGTGAGCTTTTATACCGTTTTTGCTCTCCATTCTCATACTCATACCTTAACTAACCTCTGCACACACCATATAGATTACAGCCGGTACATATTTGACCAACTATGCAGCGTTCCTCGCCGCCTTCTCCTGTACCCTGGGTGTCTGTATAGAAACCTTGAATAAATGAAAGCTGTCAGAAATATAGATTTCCCAGAATCGGAACCATGCTCCGAATGTAAAAATGACATTTTGACATTTCCTCTCAGAGGCTTCGCTGGGCACATTTTTCATAGACTCTGTGCTGAAAAAAAAACTTATGCTTAATATTCAAACTTGTGTCCATTTGCTAATCATGGAAAGAATGTAGAAAATTACAGAAATAATTTCTACTCTGAGAATCATCCGATTGCCAAGTGCCAAATCGAATATTACTGCTCATATTCATTATCCCAATCGAGTGAAACTTCGACCTTAACTAACGTAATAAGTGAAAGGTTTATGCTAACTTCCCTACCCATGCGGTTGAGAATATAGGGATTCAACAGATGAAAAATCAATTAAGTTGCGTTAAATGCCTTTTAGGTTTTTTATGAATTAAACAACTTGAATAGGAAAATTCGACAATTTTATCATGCATGTTACACAAATATATCAAAAACTGACTATTGTTAAGTTACTACAAAATATTTTTATAAAAGATACACATTAAAACAAGATGAAACAGAGTTGTTTGTAGCATTAAACAAAAGTACATATTCATTGAACTTCGATCATTGTAAACGGTTACGTAATATACAAGACAGAACATTGTCATCTGTATTTTTGATAACTCCATGTTACTTACTTTTTAAGTTGGACAAACCTAATTTCAGATATTAAAACTAACATAATTACCGTTTGGGTTATTATTGTTGTTGTTGTGATTATAATACTCTGTGCAACTTCGTTACGGCGTTTTTCAATTAAAACTCCGCTGAGCAAGTGTAGTACAAGTAATAAGTAACAGAGTATCAGCTTCAACCGATGAGCATTTCTAACAGTCTGAATGTTTCGACTTTGACTTGTCAATTTTAAATTCGATAATTGGCGGTTTTTGTTTAGATAAAGTACATTTTTATTGTAATAAATTTATCGAAAAAGAGGGAATTGGATCTAAATTGCTGTAACCGATGAGCGACCAACAGCGCCTCCCCCTCGCTTCTTGTACAGAATGGGAATGCTTGCCCCCTTATTGGACAACTATGTGGCGGGTAGCGATATGTGTAGCATCGATAGAAAATAAACGCGAGATTGAACTGCGGATGAGGGTTAGGGTTACTGCGGTTTAGCCAGCGTGCGTAGCACCAAGTCGTGTGTTGGGTTTTTTTTGCCTCAATAGAAATAGTTATAAGCTCTACTTGTCGTTTGACTAAAATCGTAATAAAACAAATATGAGCATTGGGGAACTTCTCGCTGGCACACTCTCTCCTGGTTAGTTAGCCCACATTCTGTTAGATTCTTTTTCTTTAACATATACTTCTATCCCGAATTTCATACTGGGTGGCTTTGAAAAAGCACCACACGTCTCCATGCTTTCGCCTATAACTTATATGACTCGACTTGTCTGTTTTGCCACATTGACCCTTGTTACTTCCAGATCAAAATGTCCGCGATAATGCGGAAAAGCAACTGAGTGAAGCCGCTCTCTCGGACTATGTAAGCTTTCTTCGTCGCTTTGCTCGTCCCAGATCCGTTTATTTTTAGATTAGTACGCGTCTATCAACTTTCTTACTTTATCTTTCCCTTCTTTCTTATAAAGCCCACTTACGTGTCTTTACTTGCTAGTGAGCTGGCTAACGAGCAGTCTCAATCGTTCATTCGCAATGCCGCTGGTTTGGCGTTAAAGAATTCCCTCACATCATCAGTGAGTTTTCGTCTGTTACCAAATCGTAACTGCGGCAGCATGCCCATGTCATTTTGATTTATAGGTCTATCCGCAAGGGCCGAAAGCTGTCTGTTAATATCTCATACAAGTTATTAATTTTAAGATATACTCTCGCCTCAGGAAAGCCAGAAAAAATTAGAGATTACTCAACGATGGCTAAGCATTGACGAATCGCTAAGGCAGAACGTGAAGCAACTGGTAATGTGATGCATGATGCACCCTCCAAATAAAATGACAGTTGCCCTGCTAAATATTTCTCTATCTGTTTTTAGGTGTTAGTGACATTATCGTCTTCAGACCAACGTGCAGCATCAACTGCCGCTCAAGTACGTAATGTTTTTTGACATGGTGTGATAACTTTTATGTAAATCAGAGGAAGACGAATGAAGCAGAGAAACTGACGATAATATTGGAAGCCTTTCTACTTGGATGTTTTTACGATTTATCGATATCCTCATCTTTCATTATAGGTCACTGCCGCTATTGCTGCTATAGAGCTACCAAATAATCAATGGGATGATCTCATGAAGATTCTGCTTAACAACGTTACAAACACGGAAAACAGTCAACTCAAGCAGGCCGCTTTGACAGCTATTGGTTATGTTTGTGAACAAATAGTAAGTGTCGATGCATTTATGTTTCTCGACTTACTGTTCTATTAATCTAGCACTTCCTTACTTGACGTTGAGAGGATCCCGAGATATTGACAAGTCAATCTGGAGCAATTTTGACAGCTGTTGCTCAAGGAGCGAGAAAGGAAGAGCCAAGGTACTATTGATATTTTGTATGATCGAAATTAATAACTGATACACTATATAATATTTGACTATTTGTTATTACAGTCAAGAAGTCAGACGTGCCGCTGTAAATGCACTTTATAATTCACTTGAATTTATCCGTGATCATTTCGAGAGAGAGGTTTGCGCTTGTAATATTTTCTGTCTGCAGTTAATTCATTGTTCCCTATTCTCACGAGAATTGACTTGCCATGGACAGGGCGAACGTAATTATATCATGCAGGTCGTTTGTGAAGCTACTCAAAGCACCGATGTGAACGTGATGGTGGCGGCATTTGAATGTTTGGTGCGGATTATGCAATTATATTACGACAAAATGAGTTATTACGTAGAGAAGGCTTTATTTGGGGTAGGTTTTGAGAATTTTACAAAAACGTTTTATTCAGCAGAATTCTACATTCTTATATTATCTATTTCTAATCATCTCCTTTCGGCGTAAACTGCAAAAAGTTAACAATTGCTGGCATGAAGCATGAGGATGAGAAAGTGGCACTCCAAGCTGTTGAATTCTGGTCTACTGTCTGTGATGAAGAGTTGGAATTAGCATCTGAAGCCATAGAGGTTTATTTTTATGACATGCGGTTACAAGTGATTGGGTATGCAAATCTTTTTTCACCTAACATATTAATTTTTAATTAGGCAGCGGAAACAGGAGTTCAGCCTGAACATGTTATCCATAACTTTGCAAAAAAAGCGCTACCAGAAATTTTGCCAGTGCTACTTTGGCTTCTTACCAAACAAGTACGTTCTCTTGTATGTTGCTTTTTGGTGGGATGAAGGATATGTTGACGAGAAACGTCTATTTTATCCTGTAGGATGAGAATGCAGACGAGGACGATTGGAATGTTGCGATGGCTGCTGGCACATGCTTAGCATTATTGGCTCAATGTGTCGAGGATGCTATTGTAGTGCCGGTGGTTTCCTTTGTTGATTCTCGCATTCGTGATGAAGACTGGAGAAGTCGTGAGGCTGCAGTAATGGCGTTTGGTTCGATACTGGAGGGACCTGACCAAAAAATGCTATCTAATCTAGTGAATCAAGCCCTCCCTGTTTTGATCGAAATGATGAAAGATTCCTCACCACAAGTCAAAGATACTACTGCTTGGACTCTCGGACGTGTTTCCGAGCTGCTCATTGAATGCATTAAGCCAGAAGTTCATTTGCATCCCTTAATTACAGCCCTTGTGTATGGACTAAAAGATTCACCACGCATTGTCTCCAACTGTTGTTGGGCGTTGATGAGTTTGTCTGACCAGCTGGGAAACAGAGACGTTGTACCTCCTACTTACCCTTTATCGGGATATTTTGAAGGCATCATTAATGCCTTATTGACAACGAGCGATAGGTATTTTGCATACATCAATAACTTTCTCATCGAGGTCTGTTATTAACCATGAGATGATGATATAGGTCAAGTAATGAATCTAATTCACGAACTTCAGCATACGAGTGCATTTCCAGTTTCGTTGCTGGTGCGGCATTGGTGAGTAAAAGATATTGTTATTTGATGGATCACTCGTATTCTCGCGGGGCGAGTTCTGCTGTCCAATATTGGACTTGAAGTTTTGCGTCAGTCTCGCAATCAGAATAATTTACGCGGTCATCTTACAGGATAGTGTGTCCAACTCGAAGAATAATAACTACCTTCCAACATAGTACCGTTAAATTTTCGGCTAACATCACCTTATACTACATTAAAGGATTGCTTCCCATCAATTCATAAACTCACCGTGACCATCTTGGAGAGGCTTGAACTTAGCATCCAACAACAGGTTGGTGGGTTTCATGGAGCTACATTTAACGCTGACATGTTTTCTAATAAGCTGATCTTAATGTAGAATCAAGTCGTCGGTAACGATGATCGTCTAGCACTAGCAGAATTTCAGTCAAATATTTGCAGTGTATTAACGGCAAGTGTGGATAGAAATTATGTTTTTAAATGCCGAGTTGCAAGGATGCTCACACGAGAATTTTTTTCCCCTGTAATCCAGAGCATCATTCGTAAACTCAGAAGCGAGATCACTCCATTCGCTGACAGAATTATGACAAATCTGTTGGCTATGTTCTCACATAGTAACAAGACGGCAACTACTATGGAAGATGGCTTCTTGGCCGTAGGAGCATTAACAACAGGTTAGCGATATTAAGAAATGATATACATTAAATCCAGCTACTTAACTGCCTCCAGGCGGATTGGTTTCTCACTTGTTTGTCTACTTTTGTAACAGCTCTCGAAGGAGATTTTATTCGTTATTTACAAGCCTTCGCACAATTCCTCTACCTTGGTCTCCAGAATCACGAGGAACATCAGTTATGCGCTATTTCTGTCGGGCTTATTGGGGATATTTGTCGCGCTCTCCAAGAGCAGGCGGTACCGTATTGCAATACTTTTATGAACATGCTACTACAAGATCTCCAGGTAAAGCAAATTTATTTATATCTAATATTAGGATACTTTTACTGTAAGCAATGTCATTTAACCGTCACTTGCATGATAGAGCCAAGTACTTCACAGAAATGTCAAGCCAGCAATTCTATCGTGTTTCGGGGATATCGCATTGGCAATAGGCGGGAATTTCGATACGTACTTGGAAGTCGTTATGTTAGTACTTCAGCAAGCAAGCAACATGAGAGCTGCTGATGTAAGTATTTGGAAATTATAGTTCGTTCTTTTATTCATGCTTTATACAAGTGCTGGAAAAATTTTCCATTGTGCCAATCTAGCAACGTAATTATGAAATGATTGATTATGTCTTGGCACTGAGAGAAGGTATCTTAGAAGCATACGTAGGAATCGTACAAGGTTTGAAAACGGGAGAGAAAGGTTAGTCAACTCGATATTTGTTTCGAATAGTTTGCGGAGATGACGTTTGCATTTACCAGGAATGATGAGCTTATATTAACTCTTCGTTGTTTCCTGTCAGCCGAAGCATTAACGCCATACGTGAACCAGGTTTTCATTTTTATGCAAACTGTATGGAACGATCCTGATAAAACTGAAAATAGTATTCGCAGCATGGTTGGACTTCTTGGGTATGGCAAAGTTATTTAAGACGTTATTTCTGTGTTCTTGTGTAATGTCTAACTTGTGATAAATTCTCATTTTAGTGATTTGGCGGAAGCATTCCCCAGTGGTCAAATCAGAATGTTCTTATTGCAAGATTGGGTCACAGCTGTACTAAAGGAAGCCAGAACAAACCGCGAAATGCCACCGGGCACAAAAGAAGTAACGCGATGGGCAAAAGCAGTAAGTTTTCTCATGGTGATTATCAAGTTGCTTGACAATTTATTAAAATATTTTCTATGTTGTTTGCAGATGATCAGACGAGCCACCACCCAATAGGAAAGATGTTATTTCTATGTGATATTTTTTTAATTTTAATAAATCCATTGTGTAAAGCTTGATTTAAAAAACCGAAATTTTGACACTTTTTGATTCTTATGGGGAGTTATTATTATTATTAATGACATGTTATAAGAGGTCATATCATATCCATTTGCTGTCACCTTTCTTAACATTAGAATATATTAATATGGGATACACTGCAAAAACCAGACAAAGTGAAGTGACTGGTGTGGCTGTAAATTGATATTAATATTGATAAGTCATAGTGGTACTCATGTATAACTTTTATCATGGGTAAACAGTAGTACTGCTGAGAATACTGCATCTCAGCAGCAGAGCCCAAAGCCCTTCCAATTCCCTAGCACTTTATGCATAGACAATAACAGCAAACATGTAGGACCTCAATCTCATGGCCATTCAATATACTAGTGGAACACAGAACACTGGGCGGAACCTCAATTTACCGAGAATCTCTGTCATGACTATCTCCAAGATTTTTCTTCTCATTATCATCCTCAGAACTGTTTGAAGCTGGATGAATTTTATTTGGGCTTTGGGAAATCAGATGAGCAATCCTTTCTCACTCAATTAGTTACATATACAGTTTTTAAATTTGATAATAGTATTAAAGGCTCTTTGTTGCAGTTATGAATTATCAGTGCTTTATCCATTGGAAGACTGGCTTTTCCCCATGTCTTGTGATATTGCAAGGAATCCCATTGACCAAATTACAATAGTGAAGCAACCGTTTCAAAGATTGTGCGTGATGGTCACTTGTACTTGGCCTAAATATTAGTAAGGATATCATGAAGCGATGATGGAGATTTGCCGATATCGTATGCATAAGCCATTACGTTTGTCGATGGCATCTTGAACAGCAACCAGATTGTTAAGGTAAACGGAAATAGCTTCGAGAAAGCAGAGCGTTTTAATAAACATTATGTATCGCATGACTATTCAACACCAAGTAATAAGTCCGATCGTTAGTGCGCTAATACTAACTCTATACTCGACGATAAAAGCAACACAGAGAAAATCTGCCGGTAATTACAGTGGTGTGCAAAGAAGATCGACAGGCGTAACTTACACAAATAGACAATCGCTCTAGTTAGATCTTTTCCATTTGAATATCAAAATGACCTCATCGAAGCAAGAAACACAACGACAGGCCATATTACATTCTGGAAGCAGGGAATACGAAATGCTATTGAATACAAAGTTTGACAAAGATTCCAATTAGTACTGTCCGCCGCAACCTTAAAAAAATCCAAGATACTGGAAATGTAAAGCATAAAGGTGGTAACGGACGCGTTAAAAAAATAACAGCAAATGCATCCCGAACAGTTGGACAATACGTTCGACGGCAACCTTCAATTTCCGTTCGGTCAATTGCCGACAAATTAAAAAATATAGGAATAGACGTCTCCCGCTCAACTGTTACAAGGCATTTGGCTAGCCTTGGATACCAAAATGCACTTCCCCTTCGCACACCAATGTTAACCACAGCCCATACTCAAAAACACAAGGATGACAATTGGAAAAACCCTATTTAGTGACGAAACATCTTTCCAATTATTCTGTGACACGATAAAACAAAAATGCAAGACCGATTCGTCCAATGCCGAAGGACCGAAGTAAAATATTCGTCCGGTGGGTTTTGTATAAAGGGTACTATCAGTCTTTTTTGTTTTCGGCGCATAATGGATGCAAAATTTTATACAGAAATATTGGAAACGCACCTTCCGGAAACTTGTAAAATGTTCATTAACTATAACGAATCTCATCGATTCTAAATATTATATCATTTGATTGATGTAATTTCAAAAAATTACGAAGATGAAAAAGTTCTCCCAACTCACCACCAAGACACTGACGTTACGAGGTAATTGGCGGCTGCAACAAGATAATGATCCTAAGCATACTAGTCGTATTGCTAAGGAATTCCTTGATAAGAATGTCCCAGAGGTTATGGATTGGCCTTCTAATAGTCCAAACCTAAATCTCATTGAAAACCTTTGGGCAATTGTTAAAGGAATGTGGAGTTGTGTGGGCAAATAGTCTTATACGATAGCAGTGTTTTCGTCGTTTTCTATCGGTTTTGAGAGATTATAGGTTGAAGCAATTACATATTATATAACTTTATTATGTTGATAGCGCGAAACTGATTTCAATGATCGCAGAGCTGATGTCTTCTTATCGAAGACGAAGCCACTGGGCGGATCATTGACAAATCGCATTAGGTTGTCCACACTTGCTAAAGCTGCTTTTAATGAAATTATAGGCTGTGGTTTATCACTTTTTTCTTTGGCTTCTTGCTATTGGTTATATCAGTTATCGAGCACCTGATACTGTGTAACAGATAAAGCTATTGGTTATACAGCTATAAGCACATCATATAAAAACCTCTTTATTAGCACACCATGTTTGAGAACCAATTACTATGGAACTTATAGGAAAAACCCTCTATACAGTCACAACCTCTTTATAAGCACATTTTCAATAAAAGTTGCATTGTTCCCGACTGTGTGATTATAGGGGGGTACGACTGTATCGGTTTATCGAGCTAAATTTTCTTGAATGTGACAAAATAATATCGGTTTTCCGAGCGAATTTTGTTATACAGAAGTGTTTTGGAAATTAAAAAAATTATCGGTTTTGGCATTTATCGGTTTGACTGTAATTAATCTAGTAAATTCAATGCATCAGCGCTGTAGAGAAAAATGGCGAACAAAATATTATATTAAAACTTTTTTAATCAATTTACTACTTATTATTATCAGCTTTAAAATGACGCATTACGCATTTTAATCGATGCAATACTTGTGAAACTAACGTAATTTTAAGAAAGTTCATTTTTTGTACACACCACTATCGCGATATGCTGGTTTGTCATAAAATGCTCTACGCTGAGTTGAAAGGGTTTACAGTTGGGTAATATTGTGAATGCGATCATTTCCAAATCGAGGTGAAATTTCAATAGCCGATAGATTCAACGACTTGGTGTACATCACATGTTATTAATTATTAAATTTTATTGGTCAGTTTTTTGTTACACTGCATCGAAGTTACCACGGTAAAGGCGTCCGTTGACTTTTTATTATATCAGAAAATGCTCAATAAACAAACTTTTTGCAAGTAGAAACTTAGTGGCCACTTTAATGCTACTACTTATTACTGATAAAACTAACATTGCAATTTTCAAACTTAATAACAAAACTTACTATTTAAAATTATATTTAAGATATCTGTATATAAGAATTTCTAATTATAACGGTTCCACCGAATATGAAAATGCGTTTCTTGGAGAATTATGACTGCTCGAATATAATTCCGGAAGAAAACGTTTGTCGGGTTACGCGAAGTGTTTCAAGCTCGCCAAAGTGGCTAGGCTATGCCACCGTGCACAGTACGCTCGCCACAGTCCGGAGTGGACAAAATCTCATACTCTTAAACTCCAGCTCTCTAAAATGTGTGCTAATAAGAGACACTTTCCCACAATGTTTTAGATATCGGTCGCACTTATTTGGAAATTATCTGGCGGCGGATAATATAGAATGTTAGTCGCATTACCCGATTGCATTTATTTACTAACAAAGCGTCAATCTATCGTGATTTTATTTTTGGCAATTTACTATACAATGAACATGCATTCTTGTAATCGACTGAATGCAAAACCGAACTATCTGTTCAACATAAAATTTATCAAAAAATTGTTCGAATGACTTATTAAAACGTTCTTATCTTTAAATAAAATGTTCGGAGTGGGCTGTTTGTTATCTATGTTCCAACTTGCAGCCGATTAATCTATTAATAGTAAAAAAGTGCAAATTTTGTGCGACATCGAGATCGAACGGTAGGACAGATATTAATATTCCCAAAAAAGCAATTAAAAAATTATTATCGTTCAATCATTTTCGGAGACTTTTTTAAAAGGTTCTAAATATGGATTATCATTATGAAGCCTAAATGTCTTATCAACCCAAAACAAATGATTATTAATAACGATATCGATAAGACCCAGTTGATAGTGAAACCAGTTGGACCGGAACGTAAGGCAAACCGTCCAAGAAATTCGGTTTGGGTTATCGGAGTAAATTTTCTACGCGGATCTTTTTATTTAGTGATGATTTTACTAATACTAAGTCCTTCGGGTTTTGGCTGTGCTGTCAACATTGTTAACGGTTTTTATGTCACAATCGATTTTATCACATTGATCGTTACAAATGGAACTTTTCTGATTCGTTAACATTATTAACAGTTTCTATTTCATGTGATGAGTCGGAAATAACGTTCTGGGTGACGGATTCACGCAGAAGTTTCTTCTCTTTATTGCATTGCCTTATCTCATTACTAACCCTTTTCTTATATTCCGAGTCCAAGAAGGCATCTGTCTCTATATTCTCCAAAGTCTTGGAACTGGCATTAATGCATTGGTTTGTTAGAGTCAGGTATAACAACAGCTTCTTCAAGAGTAATATCGCCACTTTGCTCGCGCATGCCCGAAATCCTGTTCTAATTTCGCGACTCTAACTCTAAGTTCAGCATTCTCAGCATCAGTGTTTGTCCAATTCATCAATTTTGCTCTTTAGCTCGGCATTTTCTTCCATAGCCTGCTTTAATTTCGCATTCTCAACCTTGACATCGCATTCTCCTTTCTAAGCTCAGAAATCTCAGCCAAGAGCTTCGAATTTAATTCTTGTAACGAATTGATCTTTGATTGAGTGTCTGACATTGTTTTATCTAGAAGCACATTTATTCAAAGCTTCGAATTAATAGGTAGGCAATCACTTTTGCCAAAAATCTGAAGGTTGTATATAATAATTAATATACCACGGCAAGGTAGAAACAATCAGATGGCATAACAAATCTAATCACAGTTTTGATTTTAACCTGTAACAAATTTGTAATGCTTTATATCTTTTCCCATTCCAAACCCGAACACTTGATTTATGGTAGAGCTTGACCCGAAAGGTCTAGATTTTGAACAGCAAATTGCAGTAAAAAGACATATTATTTGATAAAGCAAAACTAAATGCAATAATTACGGCAGAGATATGTTTATCGTCAGAGGACATATTACATACTCAACACAAATCCGGGAAGAAGTTGTAAAGGAATCTGTGTAGCCGAGGTACAATTAAGAATCTCTTGACAATGTGTTGACATCCAAGGTATAGACCCTTATTATATTGTAAAGGATCGATCGATATCCCTTCCTAGATAAATAATATTCAATTAGCACAGGGCAAACAACAGCAAAATACTCATTATTATTGGTTTACTTCCCTCGGCTCCTCCCCTCATCCATAGATTCATCTTTCGGTCAACATCTAAGGTCGTATCGCTTTCGGACCTTATAATGAAATTAGGTGTTACTTCCGGGCGCAGAGTGATTATTAATAATAAATAGGCCAGTAATTACAAATCAAGCCACAACAAGCTAATCCGCCTTAACTCTCTTATTTCCACCCTCTATTTCCTCGGGGTTTCGTACCTCTAATAACCAAGCAATATGACCGAGGACCCTTTCCATCATAGCTTCCATATCCTCATTTCATATACAACGACCAGCGGTTTCGATAGTTTAAATCTCGACCTTTCTTGATCATCAAGCGAACAGTCTAAAAAATACAATTCCTTCGCATCTCCGACAATTCCGAACATCTCACCCACACACCCTCTTCATCCATCTCCGCTAGCCGGTTCGACGTAAGTCTAGCGCAAAGTCGCCAGACCATGTCCATTTGACCCTGAGATTTTTTTTTCTGGCGACGCGATGTAAGATCGACGTAAAAAATATCACTAGTACTACAATATCACATGGGCAAGCATGGATCCTGTTATCCGTTAATCCGAACCTGTTAATCCGACCGAACCCGTCAATCCGACCGAACCCGTCAATCCGAAGGCTTATACTCGTTGTTAGCTAAATACGTCAAATTTATGCACATGATGCATTAAAATTAAGGGTTACACAAACTTAATTCTTATGCTGTATACGAACGACTATAATTACTATATTGTATTGAGTTATTAACGAACGAATCAATGACTTTGATGACTCATCGCATTTGCATCAACAATGATGGAAAACCGCGGGAGGAATTGTATATATATACAGCAACGACATTATATCTTGTCCGAACAATATTATTAAATCCGTCATGTTATCAATTGACGTTCTTGCATTTTTCACGACTCTTACTTATACAGATGTTCTCGTTTTTTCGATCCTCGCTTTTATCTTGTACACAATCAATTTTTATGTCTTATACTTCAACCGAGAAAACGCGCTCCCTGGCCCACTTCCTTTACCCATAGTAGGTAATCTTCTTCATTATGCCATGCATAGAGACCTGGTAGCATGGGTTGCCGTTCTCCGCAAAAAGTATGGCGATATGTGGGAGGTGTATGTGGGATCAGAGAGACACGTATGGCTATCGAGAGCCGATTTGGTGGACAAACTATTTAGTATATCAACGAAGAGTAATTACAAATGTAGAACAAATGGAAATAGAGCAATCGACGAGATAAAAATGCTAAACCACGGAGTTTTCCTCAATAGAGATGTGGATATTTGGACTTTCAATAGGAAGATGATGAAGCTCGTGTTAACATCCGCCGAGTTTATTGACTATGCGATTAAACGCGCGCCGAAAGTATTCGAGGAAATGGAGGGATATTGGGCAGAATTGGGATACGTAGGCAGCGACGACAAAATATTTAATCTTCCAGACTGGTTCCACGCATTATCTCTAGACAGCATAGTATACTTATCTACCGGTAAGAACGGTTGCGGTCTTGCATCCCTCCTCCTCTCTAGCTCCCCTAATTCCGTAGTACCTTATTCTACCGAAACTTTGAATGAGGCCAAGGAACTCCGCAATTCATGGTCGATGTTTTTTGACACCGTGCGCACGGCTATATTTGTGCCCGACTTTATCAGATTGGGCACTCCGCATGGATTGATACAAAGAAGGAAGTTTCTGAAAAATTTCCACTGGTTGAACAATAACCTGCTGACGATGATTAGAGAAAAGAGAGCCGAGATTGAAAACTACTATAACAATGATGGACTAAAAGGCGACTACAATATGCTGAAATTGTTGTTGACTGCGAATACCTCTCGTGGACCTAGCGTGAATAGAGGATCAGATGAAATAGACAGAGCCATGACTGACGATGAGATTAGAGGGCTATTGTTGGAAGTGCTTACTGCGGCTATAGAAACTGTATGTTACATATGATCCTTATGTGTAAAGATAGCAAATGAATAATACTAACCGCTGATTTCTATCAATCTATAGTCTGCCAGTCTTATGTGTTTTGTCGTATACTTGGTCGGTCAGAACCCAGAAGTAAAGAAAAAAATACAGGAGGAGGTCGATCCACTGTTCAGAGATGATCCGACACGAAAATTGCAACTTGATGACCTGAATAATCTTCCCTATATCGAAGCTGTCATAAAAGAAGCCTCGCGTCTTTTGCCTCCTGGGCCCATTAACTACAGAGTTGCATCGCATGAGGACGACATTGGTGGATATAGATGGAAGGTAATTTCAAATAGCACCGTGTTTGTCAGTAACAGTTAATTTACCTCTGATTATCTTGTCGTTATTTTACTTCATTTAGGCAGGAACGCAGTTTATGATAGACGTGGTTGGTATTCAAACCCACTCTGCGCACTGGTCTTGTCCTGAAAAATTCATTCCTGAGCGGTTTCTTTCTCAATCTAAAGACATTGTTAAAAATTCTATTCAAACATTTGGAGGAGGACTGCGTATATGTCCGGGCAGACAGTACGCAATGTTCTTAATGAAAATTGTTCTAGCTTCATTATATAATAGATATGACATAGAGTTGGCTAATGAAAATGAGAAACCGGCGACTACATATAAGGTTACGCTTTACTGTCAAGGATTGAAGGTTAAGATGAGGAGACGGAACATCGTTTGAGAGTCAACACAGCACATTGCACTATTCATACATTGCCGTAATTAAATAATAAACGATAAGCTCACGCTTTTAGCTATTAGTAACTCCTGTTCAATTTCCCGTAAAGTTTTTACATGAAGCATAGAAATGCCACTTTCCGATAACCGTATGCAAAATTCTAAAGTCTTTCCGACTATCTGCGTAAACTACGCATTATCGTAAGAAAACTAAAGAATATCCGCTAAAAACTGACGCATAAATGACACCTTTGTTTTTCGCAACAGTGTATTCAGAAAGACGCAGAAAAGCTATCCGTCAATAAACTCCTTATCCTGCTGCTCGCACGAAAAGTGTAAGAACTGCTCGTTTATTAGAAAGGAAGATTAAAATATGATTGTGTAATCAAAGTAAAATTTTTGCATAATGCGGGTATATTAATATCCCAGGATCTTAATTAAAAAAGCATAATAATAACAAATTGATTTATCATTATTGTAAATTAGGTCTATTCGATTATCCCGCAATGTCTGATGTAGAAAAGCAAATTCTTAGTACAATGAAACTATTTACATAGAAAGATCCACATGTTTAAAGTGAATGATACCAAATTCTCTAAGTGAAAAACATGGAAGCATAATAATAAACCAACCAAGATACATAAAATGACTCACAATACGTAATAAAGGTAAGAAGCGGTCGCAAAAACTTTAAAATAAACTTGATGAAAAATGTATGTCAGACATATTTTACCAAGAAAGATAATCTTTCAGTACTAAAACTATATAAATTAGACTACTCAACGACCCGTCATAATGAGTTTGTGGTTAATGTACTCGATTTGTGTTCACAAAATTATCGAGTCGAATTACCTGGCGCTTTTATTTAGCTGTGCTTCAAAGCCGTTGAAGAAAATCTCAGTTGATATATGTATGATTAAGACCGGTTGAAAAAACTGCATTTTGGACCTGCACTATCATTGTAAAACATAAATATATCTAATTTCTCTCGCGTACGATAAATCTATGTTCGAAAAATCAAAGAGAGACGAATCGGCTGATATAGTTGAGATCGGACTTTGCGCGCAAGCAAGACTTGCACATAAAGTGTTAATAACTCAAATACAGGATCGAAAAAACATCTGTAAGTAATTGAGGAGCACATTGTAATCGAGGCTTCAAAAATTGCAGTCAAAGTATCAGAGTAACTATTAAAATTGAAAGATGGAGGAAAGATAAATAGAGTGTGTAAGACTATTGTTGTACTTATGACAGAATTAGAGAAAATGATAAAAAGTAACACCGAATCAGTTGCATAGAGAAAAAGTAAACCAATTAATCTTAGAAGTCTAGTATTATTGATGATAATCCGGGAAAGGGAACATTTGTTTAAAATACCGGCATGCGCATTCTTGTTTTTAGGCATCACTAAATCAACATTAACCATAATAATAAGCATTTTAAACTCGCATGCAATACGAAAAATAGCGTATAAATTATTCTGCAATCATAAGTCTCAACGATTACGACCGCTCTTTGCGTAATGCGCAGCGCATTTCATATGCGTCCCTCCCGTGCGTGTTACTGTAATAGTAATTGAACTTCGCCAGCAAAGTATTCAATGAGCCCGACAACAGTATGACAGTCTCTAATATTGTACCACTCATAAGGATAAACAAGTGTAAATCAGGTCAATTCATTCAAAGGACAAATCATAGATTTACAACCAATCCATCATCCCAATCTTCTTTCTCTCCGGTTCTCCACCCAACAAAAAGCCATGGAAATAACCGACCACAGCAAACATAAAAATCATTCTTACCCTCAACCTTTGGCCATACACACCATAATAGACTCACAAACCACCCACACAACTAGGAAAGTAGTTTCCACCACTCACGCAATTACTTCGTTGCAGGCTACTTCACTCACGCAACCAACACTCCATAACAACACCACTACCGCAACCTCAACCTCAACCTCAACCTCAACCTCAACCTCAACTTCTGCCTTAGTAGTATACTCCCCACCTCACAAGAGAAGCAAAAGAAGACAAGACTCCCCTAACGCCATTTTAAAGCCACTTCTACCTCGCTTACCCGCACCAGTTGTAGCTGCCAAAGCACGCCTCCCGACGCCACCCGGACGCTTTCCAACACCAAAGACGCCGGTTATAACCCCCGAAGTCTTTTCTTCTCCGAATTCGCCCGAAACGCAAACTGATTTAATGCCCATGCTTCTCCAAGCAGCAGCTCAAGCCGCAGTGAGAGACAAACGACAAGAGCGTATGGTTAAAAACCGTGCTGCTGCGTACGAATCTCGGAAAAGAAAACGAGAAGAAGCTGAGAGGCTTATGAAAGAAAACAAAGACTTAGAAGCTAGAGTTAATGAGCTCGAACGTACTTTGACTGAAATAACTAGAGAAAGGGATGTCGCTTTTCGTGAGAATCACCGTCTGAAGCTCCGTCTAGAGAAAGAGCGAGCTGGTGACTGAAGTAAAGCGAGGATTTTGTTTACTGAAAGAAAATTTATGTTTCGCCAGAAATGGGTGGATCTTCCAAGTGGCTTCGCAACCTTGGTGTCATCCTGTTCCCTCGAGTATAAGGCAACGTTGTTTCATAGCAGTATCGTTACTTCGTCAAGTAAGACGTTAGCAAATGCTCCACCATAACATGTTCTTGATTACCGCAAGGGTTATGGTCTGCCAATTTAGGGCTGTGATGTCAATGACAATCTATTTCTCCTTCGGTCTCGGATGCTCAGACTAGGGCTGTATTTCCTAGAGGATTAATGGTTTGTCTTAGAATTTGCTACCACGAAAAAAAAGCCAAAGTGACCGCAGAAAATTTTCAGTGAGTAAAACTGCTACATATCTTAAACGAGTCAATTAATAACAGTAATGGTTTTAAGGCAAAGTCAGTGAAAGGGCAAATTAAACATTAATTATTTACAATTGAGCATAATTTCTCGCAATTGTAATGTTTAGTTGAGAAGTTTTATGACGTAGAATTTATCCTAATTCAATTTTTGCTGTATGCGCAGGAAGGCATGACTTTTACCATTTGTATGCTAGGGTTGATATTTTGTTCGATTGCTCCCAAGCATACTATTGATTCTTGTGAGTTTGGGCAAACATTAGTTGCGTCTAATAAAGAACACGAAACCATTAAATTCAAGCTTTTTTGTGTGAAAACGACTGTTTTGACCCCAATTGTTGAACAATCAAATCAATAACACTGCAAATGATACTTTGACAACGTTCTTCTTCCTTTGCGATAGAAAGACACTGTACACACGGTTCTAAAAGATCTGCCTAACAAGTTTCAAAGTTGGGCAATGTTGGGAAAAGGCGTTTTATCGAAATTATGTTGCGTGTTGCCCGTTTTGTCTGTCACAATCTAGAGACATGAATTGCCGATTCTAATTAAGAATTAATATCAAATAATACATTCGCAGTTATTGAGCCTCAGCTCCTAAAAGTAATTTTAACCTCCTCCATGTTTGCCTCGAACTAAACTAAAGTCCGAACTAAGTTAACTTTGGTGCTACCACATATGACGTCATCATAACTTTATAAATTGTTTAATACTAACATTAATATTAATGTTAGCGCTTCCACCAATTAGATATTACAACATTATCTAAGATCAACAAAACCCGCCAAATCTCGTGTGACACTAATGCCTCGAGCATCAAAACTCATGATATGCAATGTCTTATGCATAGACAGGATGGTCTATAATGCACGAGCTTTAAGTACTTTGATTATCAGACGATAAAGAACTCTTCCTAAGCAGTTGATTGACGTTGCTATTTATTGCCCATCGTGTCGCATGCACTCGCATAAATAGCATAACCGAATGTACAAGCCATTTACATTCACATAAATTGTACCTTAGAATGATCACCGAATATATGATGATGGAGAAAAATGGTTCATATTGTCCTTGATTTAATCCTTACTCTTGTTGTCCACAAGATACTTCGGTAGGAAGCATTACTCTCGGGACATCCAAACGTTTGATAAAGAATTTTTCGTAAAGTTGACTAAATTTATATCAGTATGTATATAGGTGATGTTATGAAGAAACTTTGATGTTGAAGGCATATATGTGATTACATGTAGAATATAGCTGTGAAAAGGGACAAAAAATAACGGAGACACGTCAAATCGAAACGTGAAGATGGTGATAATGAAACGCTTATCGGATGAATACTGAAGACAGCAAAATAGTTATAATGAAACGTGTGTGTGGTTACTATCTACCGGTGGATAGCGGATGTAATGAATAAGAACGCGATGAACAAAGGATGTACGATATGGGTAGTAGAGTCACAGAGATATATCATTAACCTTGAAAATCAACAAGACATCTAATGAACTCTGCATCATTCCATTGTTGTAAGTCTCCTGCGCTGAATTTATCCATTCCCAGGCGGTCAAGTATGTCACTATCCTTGATGATTTTTGGTTCGTGAGGAGAAAACGACAAGATTGATTCCCTGTATAGAATCGATCCGGCCATTGGACAACAGCTAATTAGCTCAAGAATTCAATAGACCTGTAATATTTTGTCCATATGATTTGCACAGTTGAGTTCTTAAACCTATTTCGACTTACCCATCGGAGGACTTTTGAATGTCAATTGACGAACTGCGAGAACATCGAACGAGCACGAATGGCAAGGTGAGGTACGGTTTTTCGTATTTGAAGTTATCGCTTGTTCGCCAGGACAACCTCTCACTATTACGTTTGATTAAGTTACGAAGTTGTAGGCGCTACAAGGAGCAGATCAAATGTTATCAAGATACGTATTAATTATTATCTAGACAATATTCTATAAGACTCAAATGTACTACTCATACGAGGACAATGAAAGCCGGACTCTTACTCGACGAAATCTGTCGTGCACAACATTTTTCTTGCTTCTGACTTCTCTAGTAAGCCGTTTGTTCTCTCGCTATTATTGCGTTGAGGTAAATAATAATTTACGGTTTTTCAATCGGGTGAACTTGATGACTTACTTCGAGTTCCCTTAGTTCGGATCGTTGTCTCTCGAGTTCTTCTCTCATCGTCGCAGACGGAGAGGGCGAACTGCCATCATCTCTTTCTCCAGGTAATCCCAACCATCTTATCTCCTTCTTATCCTTTTGTATTATTCCCATGGCCATCAATACGTTTAATGCATCATATACTCGTCTACGTATATTTTTTTGGTCAACTTTAGCCTGTATGAGAACATATATTTAGAATCATTAGTATTGGGCGAACAGGCAGACATCGATTTAATTAACCGGGGCACATGTCAAATATACTTACGCCTCCATGTTCTAACACCTGAGTGGCGAAATCCTCAGCCAATTCATCTGCGACCTGATGCAAGTAATAGCACGTAGATGTAAAACGTCACTTAGAACAATGCAAATTGTCCATAGATAATAACGCTTGTCTTTATGCTTTTAAAATGTCATAACACGCCTATTGTAATGATTTAATTACCTCGTTGTAAGTTGTCACGCCTTTTAGTTCTACTTTATCACAGACTTGTTTGCTAAAATGACGTAAACCCTTGCTTTGTCGGAGAATCTGTTGTTGAGGTAGAGGATCGCTCAATACGCTTCCAGTATCACTATTATTTCCGCTGTTACTAGTAGGAGAACATGTTAGGCATTATTAGAGCGGGTGTTGGTGGAATGACGCAGTGAAAAAAGTGTAAACGGAGGTAAAGGCTCAGGTAGATTGATCGCTCACCGTCTTTCTCGACATTCGTTACAACTACTAGAAGCATCATCGTCATCGCTTTCTCTGTCTCTTGTGCCATTCTCACCCCTTCTCTGCCGCTTTATTCTTGTTTGCTCAAGTCCATTCTCTTCATCCCTCGATAGGATCTGATTAATAGATGATGACCGACAAGATAGACTAGAGACAGATGCATCAAATGACGGCGATAACGTTGCTGTGTTGCAATTTGTGTCAGGTTGAGCATGCGGAGTATGTGAGACAGGAGATGCATATGTCCTAGCGGTTGTGAATGAAAAATAACTGTCATTATGAGATTCTGGACGCAGACGAGGTGTCACTTGTTCAACTGGCGAAGCTAGCGCTCCCTTTGGATAATTGGCAGTAGCGAAGCATATTGGAGGAAGGATGGGAGATTGCCGTTCGATGTTCTTATTGTGTATTGATTTGGATGTATTAGACGAATACATTTGTTGATAGAGATATGATGAATGTGATGGAGAAGACGATGTTGAAGATGATTTTGTGCTTATAACATGAGCACTTGGGTCACTTGAATAGACGTGAGTTAAAGGCGGCAGAGGAGGTGCGATGCAAGAGCGAATAGGATGAGACGTGTGAGGAGAGTACATTGGAGGATAAAGAGGGGTAGTCATATGTAAATCCTTTTAAGTGAAAAACTATCGATGGGATACGGGATATCAGGCAGCGGATAGAATGTTATGAGTAGAGGAGTCTTCTTTCCTACTGTCTTGCTTTTGGGGGTCTATTTGGTTTATGTATACGTATATATATTATATACACTCTATTCTATAGGTTATAAAGAAAAAAAATATGTATATGTATATTTATAAGATAAAGAGATATTTCTCTATTAGTAAAGTAATAATTTGATACCAGAAGAAATAAGTCTTGCAAGAGAACATAAGTTCAGCAAGTCTTTATAAATGTTTTGATAAATAAAATAATATATGTAGAAATCGGCGGAAAGGGGGGTGAGGGGAAAGAGGGGGGAAACAAGAGACTGGAAAATAAAGAACCAAAGATGGGCGGGAGTGGCAGGAAAAAAAACAACACCTCAAATAAGGTAACGCAAGATATGTTGGCCACTTTCACTTCTGACTAGTATGTTTAACAAGTTAGTCAGATTGTGGGCGGGTTAAATGTAATTTATACAGCATCGAGAAGATGAGTTTTTTTAATGTTAGGATATGCGTAATATGCGTATATGCGTATGTGTGTGGGGAGTAGTAACAGTTAAATGTAAATAAGCAAAAAAAAATACTGATTGTAACAATGAACGGGGGAAAAAAACTTTTACGTGCAGGAACAAATCTTGCTTGAATGTCACCTGATGCATCTACGAATATAGAACACACTTATAAAATACAATACCCGACCGTTATTAAGCTCAACAATAGTATCACGTATTGATAATAATGATCGTACTATTTATAATAATTATAATAATAACAATAGTGCCATTATTATGTATTATTTATACGACAGTACACTAAATTGTCCGTTATTTGTTACTATATATTACTGCTAATCATTCTATTGGATCCGGTTATGTCAATACTCGTTATGCGAGGAATGCAGGGGCGGCAGAAAGTTTGTTGCATTACAAAATGCCAAAACGTCAAAATCACATCAATCATATCCAAAATACCCACCATTATTTACTTTATACTGTATTATATAATATTAATTAACAATCACTTGCTCCCCCGCTCTCCACCTCCACATTGATAAGCTTTATCTCCGGCAATATACGAAGAACAAAGACTCTATGCAGAAAAAGCCCCATTTACGTGTGAATATGACCCGTCCAAATTAATTCACTGTTCTCATTATCGAAATGACGTTGTATTTCATCTTTAACAATACTATCGAGAAACGGCTATCACTAGGAACTATACATCCAATAAAAATATTCTTAAAAATTAGACAAACTGCCCCGAAATTAAATAATCTTATTTGACACTTCAACTCGCAAAAAAATAGTCTATATAAAAAAGCAAAGCTATACTCGATCGTCACCTGTCCTTACCAAATACGGAAATACACCCAAACCATATGACCACTCTATATCTCAAGTACATTCAACTCCGAATATGCATCTTCAATACCCCCTGCTATGTCGTCATGGGTGATGATGTTCTGGCAAGCCGTTTCCTAGGCCATTGGCTAGCGATTGCTTCTTTGGATTCCTAGGACGATGTGTATCCACGGCATCGATATCCACCTTATATCTGACTTCTTCACATCCATATGCCTTTGGCGTTAATTTAATAACCGTATGGAGAGGAATCTTGATGTATGGCAGTTCATCCTGCGGCAAATTGTGAAAGTATGCGTACATACATCGAAGGACTCCCTGATGACAAACAATCAGAATATTCGTTTGTCTTTCTAATTCCATTATCACAGGCTCGAGACGAAATACAACATCGCGATACGACTGCAATTATGATGGACAACATGCATAGAAAATTTTAGACTCGGCTCCTCGCGCGGACAAGAAGAACAAATATTATGGAGTACTCCTAATATCAGATAATAATTAACTAAGCGAATTAATGGATTCAGTAATCGGGAGGTATTCTACAGCAATGTTCGCACTTTAAAATCTTCTTATCACATAACACTATTCTACTGATTAGCAATTATATAAGCCTTTGTTTGTCAATTCAAGATACGAACCTCTCCACCACGATATCTGTAATTGAACTTGTCTTCGTCTCGATTGGCATAATCTCCCGGAAAGTGCGCCTACAACATGTTCACAAGACAAATCAGTTCATCTCTTGTGTCATTCTCAATGTCAAATGTTTTATGGGGTAATTAGATACACTGATAATATTGAGAATTCGGCAAAAGTTTTTAAGTGTGGAACAATTTAGAGTTCAACGCGTCAGAGCGAAAACAATAGAAACAATGGAAACAGTCGCACGAAAAAAATTTCCTTGTTCTTTTTACATGACAGAGGGGAAGCATCGGCAGCATATACGCCCACTAACCTCAATTTCCTCATATGTCATTCCATCACAGACACCCGCATCCAATTCATCCAATGCTTTCCATTGTAGCTTGGGATATGGCAACAATTCAGCTGTCTGTATTGTGCGCTTCATTGTCGACGTCCACACCTAACCAGTAATAAAATAGTAGTATAGTAAGGTAGGCATATATTATGATAGTGATTGTTCTCGTATCTAAGGGGGGGAAAAGCCCACTCGACAATCAATCCAAACGCAGTAGGTAATCAAAACAATGCTGCAACCATAACGTCACACACCGTCAATTCGTGATCCCCAAGATTCTGAGCGATGACCTTCGGTAACGCTTGAGCATATTGCCGCCCGCGCGGAGAAAGGTCAGAATCACCGCCAACTTTGCCCATTAGATTAAACATACTCTCGCCGTGCTAATAAACGAAGATGAAGAAATGCAATTTAATTTATAATCATATAAAACCAGTTGGAAATATAGAGAGCTGAATACGCGACAAATAACGTAAATGGTTATAAAAAGAGATCAGAATAATGTGATAATATTGGCCCATTGTGAAGGGGAAGCTTCAGATACAGCAGGAGAATGACAAGAGAATATTCATAGCAGATATCAATTATCAATGGATTATAGTATGTAGCAAACTGAATAAAATCATGGCCGTTTTAATAAATTAAGACATTCTATTTTGCAGCGCTTGATTGATGCAACGTTTCCATCTATGAATCAAACACCACCACTATAGTATACTCACCCGACTGAAAAATATACTCCTCGGCAGAATATGTACGTTCATCAGATAGTAGACTATTCTGCTCTGTAAATATCCCTTGATGTGGTTGATGACCACCTGACTTCCAACATTAATCAGCTTTATATAAGTGTAATTTTTCTCATCGATCGTTTCATACACTTCTTCGTAATGAGAAATTCTCGCGCGGAAATCCTCTACCGCCGACTCGGGATCAACATTTTTGTAATCAGGCGAACTCAGCTTCACATCCATAATATTCTGCAAGATCATTTTTTCGTCTTGGCAAACACTCTCGATAAACATTGTTTGAATATTATGCTTTTCGCACTCCTCAAGAATAAAAGCCCTACGTTCACGTGTAGTATTGGTTGCATCGAATATAGCAACGGTGCCTGATTCTTCCTCAAACCATCGAATCATGTCTTTTAATGCGAGCGCAGCTGCCTCCTTTCGTGCTGATTCGCCTTGAGGATTATTCGAGTCGAAGAAAGTGTGCATCTGATGAGCACCATGCAACTTGCGGCGGTAATTTCCGACATTGAATACTTTGGCAGATACACACACCCATTGGAGATAACGGCATACTGTTAGACAACGATGAAGATGGAAATATTAAAATGATGGGAGAATGTAATACAATAAAAACTAATGGGGGGCAGGTCCTGATTGATAATCAGTCATTTATGCTAAAGGATATTGAGTATATATTTGATTTCAACAGCTTCAAAGGCGTCTTGTTCAGACCCTCATATCAATGATATTCGATGCAATCACCTTTTTGTGCAATGTAAGTCTTTCCGCGTGCAGGAAGTCCTACCATCTAACAATAAAATAGTAATAAAAAATCTGTGAGGCCATTCTGTATAATCAGTAACACACCACAGGAGAAATAAGATAAATTGACTAGTAGATATGGGAATGCGAAGGTTTGACTAAAACCATCTATTTGAGACTTAAACCGAATGTTCATCAAAGGTTTGTTGATGTCTGTATCTAGTGAGAGTGTTAATTCTTTCCCCGTAAGTTTAGGTCGCTGCGTTGTTCTGCGATGTTATTTGTGTGTATAATACAACTGGAGAGTGTATTTTGCCTCATTCACTGAATGAAAACTCCTGTGCTTCTGCTCGAAGTCTTGTTCATATTCGTGTTTCGATTACTAGGTTCGTGCGTTGTTGATTTGCTTAGTCAATATCCTAACTCCCACATGATCATAACACAGCAATAATACTGTATGCATTTATTGCTTATCTGACCAATACTCTCCACTCTCGGATTATCATCCTTCTTATCTTCAATCATCCCTTACAAAAAAGTTGCGCATAATATTCTTTCTCTTTGAATTCTGTTCATCGGATAATCTTTGATCACACAGAGACCAAACTTCGTTGCATATATGTTACGCATTCTCCTTTGGGTATCATGTTACCGAAGAATAATGAATTTGAGGAAATAGTAGTCAAACATACCACGCAAGCTATCCTTAAGTCTACTCAAACATAACCGGCAAATAGAAATAACAGCGTGGAAGACATTAGGGATAGTGGTTGATGTTCCTGGTCTTTGTCCGAGAATGACCACAATGTAATATATTTATACTTACTCGAAGTCATGGTATTATAACAAGAAAACAATGATTTTATCTTTCACAAAGACTTGACTAACGGTCCTATATTGGTCACTAGTATCAAAAACAAGAAAAGGAATTTATATAACGGCAAGCTTCGGATTTAAAGTCTCCAGCTGAAATGCACGGAGAATGTCGGAACACGCAGCCAAAAATAGACCGTGAGAGTGTCCAGTACTGAACAACCACATGATATGACAAGAGCGCCACTCAATCGTGACGTATCAACTCTGCTAAGTAGAAAGTCTTCGATCTTTAGACTGCATAATTTGATTTTTCAATCTTTGACAAATTCTCTGATTTATGGTGTGTCAGGGCGGTAAAATTAGTAATTTTTAAATTAAATGGTATCAATAGTTGATGTTAACTGATACCATAACATTCCTACCAAGACAGCGACACTCATCTAGTCGCAAGAAATGCTAAGTTGAAACGAGATTACGAATGATTCGAGTGACGTCTAGTAACAAGTGAGAAATATCGTGTGAGCGAGAGTAAGTGCGTGAGAGCGATATAGCAAGATAGTACAGGAAAGAAAAGCGAGAGAATATCAAAAGAATGAGAGCAACATGAGCAAGAGATCACGCTAAAGAGGATGTCGAAATGAAACGAGAAGGCAAGAATGACATAGAGAGCGAAAAAGCCAAAGAGTGAGAGCTTGAGAGAGAACAAGAGAGTAATCGAAAGTGCAAGAGCGAGCAGAACCATTTTTTCGGTAAAATAAGTTTCAAGAGGAATGAATGAGAACAAGAGGTTGAGTCTGAAAGAAAAAGCAGGAGTGCTTGGAAGTAAGAGAGTAGAGCAAATGAGCATGAGAAAATATTGTAAACTGAGCAATAGTGTGAGTCATTGAAAGAGAATGAGAGCAAGGGAGATTGTGAGAGTGAGAGGGTAAAGTAAGAAGAGGAGGATCAAAAAAGTGCGAATGATTGCAGGGGTGAGGATCAACGAGAGAATGAGAGACAGCGATTCGAATGCGTTTTCCGTTCATATTTTATTTAACTATAGAACATTTATTTAGTGAACTATTCTCATGGTGACACTTCATTTCAGTAACAATGACACGCTAGAATACTACGTGGCGTGCGGAACTTTTAATTCAACTAGTACTCTCTACACAACGTTCTGAAGAGTTCTTATAGTCCTTTTCGGGTGCCATCAACAACTGCCTCGACCTTACCAAATCCTTTTCCCTTCAATTTGAAAGGAGCAAGGTCTGGACTGTATGGGAACTCGTTACACGCAGCATTGCTGTGAGGAAGCATGACGTCGCGAATAATTGTTCTACTACTATTACTATATTAATATACTACCCCATTTCATTAACTGCGAACTTCACTATTTTATATTTGTTGCCTCTTCTCCCCTTTGCAAAACTGTCGACCCCTTATCCATGACATATTTGCTTCTTATTTGGAATTGTAAAGAAATATACACGTTTCATCAGTAATAATGTTTGTGTATCTTGGTCTAAAACTGGAAATTTTGACCCATCCAAAAGCTTATGAGAAACCCATTCTGCACAGAGTTTGGAGAAGCTCAACTCATCATGCAGAATATTTTCATGAGAAATGCTGACTTTGTTGGCTAATTCTATAGTAGAAATGTGTGGGTGACTGACAAGATCCCTGATGTCACTGGTGAAGATGTCCAGAATGAGTCTTGTCTTTAATTTCTTCTTCCTCATCTTTGAATATTAATATAGTATTATGTTAAAATTGCTTTTCTTCTAATTTTTCATTTCTTGGTTTATCATGCTGGACTGTGGTGGTTCCTAAGACATCCTCAAGCTTTACCAGACACAGTTGATTATCATTTCACCACTAGTACTAGCTGTCTGTTGTTTGATTGTAGAGTCTTAGTATTAGGAAGGTCTTTGAATCTCAATCTCATTATCATTAATCAAGTGGGAATAACATAATTATGTTATTCCCACTCGGTGACGACGGTGTCGGATTTTTGTCGTCATTCGAGTGACGATTAGTTCACGAGTTTGTCGTCGTTCGAGTGACGATTAGTTCACGAGTTTGTCGTCGTTCGAGTGACGATTAGTTCACAAGTCTGTCGTCATGCAACGATCGTATGTGTGTCGTCACTCAAGTGACGATGGTATCATATATGTGTCGTCGTTCGAGTGACGATTGGTTTACATTTGTATCGTCATCCGGTTATATAAATTTTCATATACCGGCTTGCTACTTGGGTTGGGTCACATGGGTAAAAAAATGTGCATCTGACAATTATATATCGTCATTGTGAGGCTAATGCTATCGGGTATGCTATCAAACATGTACGCGCAATTGCTATCGATATATATATCATAAATGTTATTGGAAAATGCTGTCGAACGTGCTGTCATGTAAATGCTATCAATTAACGCTATTGCGTATGCTATATACACGTTATCTGGTTATGCTATCAAAAAATGTTATCGAGTCATGTTATCAAAAAATGTTATCGGATTATGTTATCAATTTATTTTGCCCATAGTTAACCCCAAATTGTTAGCAGTTGTTAGCTTTGCATAATTCATTCGAATATCACCCGACGTAGTGCCGAATTGCTAACTATTATAATTCATTCGAATATCACCCGATGATGAGGCACGTAGTGCCGAATTGTTATCACTTATTTTGTAATACGTCAAAGCACAAATTTATCTTACCTTTTTCCTTATAATATTCTACCTTGACGTATTACCAAAAGTTTGCTATATTTTCGATCCTAGAACTCTTTCTCGCATAGTTAGTGCCCTTCGAGTATTTTGCTCTATGTTAAAAAATTTGATTCCTTTTGTATATATTTTTGATAACCTTGACGTATTACTTTTTTGATAATCTTGACATATTACTGAATCGGCTACATTCATATGAGTGCGTGTCTTTTGGTCATGCGATATAACCTTGACGTATTACTTTTTTAGTAATCTTGACGTATTACTTTTTTGATAACCTTGACGCATTACCTTTTTGATAACCTTGACGTATTACTTTTTAGTAACCTTGACGTATTACTTTTTGATACCCACTTTTTTTACTTGACTTGGTGACCCACCAAAGCATAATTTTATATTATATATCTGTAATAACGGAGTTAGTGTCTTTGACACATAATTTTACCTTGGTGGCCCAACTTTTCGGCATGTTATCTCTACCTGAAGTATACTACATACGCATTATATCCAAAACTATATCGAGATCAAATCATGTGACACAAAAATGGTTATCGGATAAATTACCTTACATTATATCAAAAGTACTTACGTAAAATTGCAATAGGGCAAACATGTAAATCAGGTGAGAGAACCACCCACCGCGACCCCCAAAATCCTCTTTGTATAATCTGAGTATCAAGTATAATAATTTTTTATTTGAATTTTTTTCTTATGCTTATTGTAAGAGGCGACAAAAACCCCCTTACCTAAAATGTATAGCTAGCCGAATATAACAATCTCTCTGCTCCAGAAATTACTATTTAGCTAGGTTATATATATTCGATAAGAGCCAAAGATTTACTTTTCAGCTCTTTTTTGTATGAAGTAGTAGGAACCTTCATTTTAGCCTCAAAGTTTCGCTTGTATTCTAAGAAATCGGCCTCACTCATACTCTCGCGCTCTTTTTTCTTTTTTCTCTCAAGTTCGAAAAAAAGTGATACTCCAAGGTATAATCAACTAAAATATCTAGAAATTCTAATACTTAATTATCCAACCCACGTATCCCACAACCGATCACTTTTTTTGCCTATATTCCATGTACGTCTCAATATAACAAACCATATAACCGCAATAATTAACAGGGTAAGAAAAATATATGCCGATAGCGGTGACATCAACGTGCTTGCCACAATGGGAATTGTTCCTATTCCTCCTATTGGA